AGGATTTTTGTACTTTTCAACTTAGTAGAATTAAATTATACTTTAAAAGATTGAATGTAAGGGATTACATTTTGTCTAGATAATTATGCATCTTAATGTTTGCATGTTTTCTGAGATTGGAATGAAGTCAAGACTAGAAATGAGAAGGCCTGGAAAAAATTGGGAAAAAATATTTTTCCCATTTTTTTCCAAAGCCATTTTTTTCTGGAAAATTTGAAAAGCTTGTAGAATATGTTCTTTTCCAGTATATCTATGACATGGTATTCAAACTAAGACCTTAAAGAAAGATTTCTGAAACTTTTTTGTTTCTACACACTCCGCCCCCTCTCATTTTTCTGGGAAAAATGTTTTGAAAAGGGGAAAAAACTGTGTCCCCCCCCCCATTTTTTTTCTGTTTTTTTCCAGGCCTTCCCATCTCTAGTCAAGAAAAAATGCACACAAAGTGAAGGTTTGTTTAGACACAACTGTTCCAAAGAGAATTGGAGTAAAGAACATACATTTTATTATAAGGAGTTGCAAATTATGAATTATTTAATTATAAAACAAAGCAAATCAGCTTTCCTTTCCTTTCTCACTGAAAAGTAGAATAATATTGGGCCATGGATAGGAATGTGAAATTCTGTTTCCCTATTTGGGTGATTTTTTAAATATTATCTTATATATAATATTGTCTAAAATTGATTATCTTGGGGTTTTTGTGATCAATGGGTAGTTAGGTTTTTTTCTCCTTGTGTTTCAAAATCAAAATCCCTCTTATTTTCAATTTCAAGCAACTAGTTAATTCTTCTGAGTAGTTCTCACTTTCACTGTTGGATCAGTATAAGCCATTGGATCAAAATGTTTAAATTCAGTAGAAATTTGAGAGACGTTATTGTGTTGTACAAAGTAGAGTGCTCAATCTGTTCTTAAGAAATTGAAACTTAAAAACAATTTTATTCATGTTGCTTTTGTGTGGCTTTGGGCAAATTATTATACCTCTATAGAAATTTTCTCTCTAGACTATAGAAAATGAGGGGGTAGCCCATAAGGGTCCGAGAATCCCACCTACTCCTAGACAGTCAGTTGCCGGTGAAGTAGGGCAGGGGGGTGATTGCACCAATTAATTTATCCTTTATAGAATTAAGCTGGCAGACTACTCTTTATTTCTTTTCTAATAATAATGGGAACTATTAGATGAAAAGAAATCTTCTTATCATTCCTCTCATCAGTGCCTAGGTTAGTTTCTTGCCTTTCATTTTAATAAGTGAACATTGTGCGATTTTTTGAAGTTTTAAGATTGTAGACTTAGACTGGAACCGTATTGTTGGAAAGAAAGAAGAAAGCAAATTGTTGAAGTGGATAAGGGTTTTTTTGTAATTTGAAATGATAGTTGGAGGATTAGGTGATTTTGTAGCACCTGATAATGAACTGAAGGGGACTGGTTTGTTGTGAAAGAGCAGAATTGTTTTGACTAGGGGAGTATCTCAATCAAAATACCAAGAGAGGCTTAATAGTGGGCTGTTTCATTACTACGTTGTTGCAATGGAGACAAGGAGGAGACAGATATATCAACTTTTAGTGTATGAAGGCCTTGTTCAACAGAAGACTGCTAAAATGCGACCTTGACAAGATGAAATTGCAGGGTATGACGAGATATTAGGGGAACAGAATTTGATTAAAAGTGACTTTAAGAGCTTTAGATTTAATTTTAGGTTGAGGTTTGGTCTAATGGAATAGCTGGATGGAATGAGGGGCGAGAACTGAAGGAAGCCATGGGATGTGGCATGGAAGATCAAGCCAGGGAAGTCGATTGGAACGTAGAAGAGTGTGAAGAGGTAATTACAGATAGGGCTTTATGCCAGGAGATTTTAGAGCCCCAACGTTTATGAGAATGCCAGGGATATCCCAAGATATTCGAGCCCTGGACGTAATTCTGGAGTAGTCAGGATAGAATGTCAGAAGCATCAGAATCAACATAGAATGGACAAGTGATATCGAATGTGAAGAGGGACATTATATGGAAACAGAATTTTTGTCATTAAATACCATATGCCCCCTCCACCTATTTGTATGCGATGGGGAGGAGGATTAATGCTAAATTTGTGCATCTGCAAATGTATATTTTTAAAAAACATCATGGTTAAATGTAAGTACAAAGTGTAAAGCAAAGGTTTTTGTCGTTTTGTGCCTTCAGGTCATTTCAGATCTATGGAGATCCCAAGACAAACATGCATAGGGATTTCTTGGGAATATTTGTTCTTCTCTGTCTAAGAGAATATGACTTCCCTAAGTATACTCAGTGGGTTTCATGTCCAAGCAGGGATTCAAACCCTGGTCTCCAAAGTCTAGTCTAGTTCTCAAACTGTTACACCATGCTAACTTCTGCAAAGAAAAACTATCTGGCTTTTCTGGATATAAGATATCAATATGGGTCTTATCACTTGATTAGCTTAAAGTGTTAGAGTTTATTCAAATATCGCAAAAATGATTACATTAAAATAAAGCAAAACATATGAATGATAGTGCTTTCATTATATAGAAAAATAATTTAGGAGGATTTATCAGATTGGTTGGACAGGGAAGTGTTTCCAAGCATTAAGGGTAAAATGTTAACTTTTCTATATGGATGATTGAGAGATACAATTGATGTTATAACAGATGGATGTTAAATAGGTAGTGTGATTATTTTAATAGAAGCATCTTTGGATATGAGGAGTTATAGTTTGTTTAATGTAAACGGGGGAGAGAGATTAGAAACAGAAATAGTTGATAATAATTGCTAATACCTACATATACACATTAACTATTTATGGGTGTTTTGTAGGGAATATAATTACAAAGGCAGAAGACTTGATTGCAATTATTAATAACTATACTCTATATTTAGGAGGTGAGGATTTCTTGAATTAATGAGGTACTTATGGATCTTATAGTTTACTTAAACATAATACCATAATCCCTGAAGTGAAGATTTGAAGTCACTCGTATCGGTTTTCTTACTTGTTCTTTTTCTACTAGTATATTTCTTTCTCTCTTTTCCCCATTTTTATTCTCCCTCTTTCTCTGTTCTTCCATTCCACTGTATGTATTGTGGCATTTTAAATATCTGGGAAATGTTAAAATAAAATTATACATATGTGTATATACGTACTTTGCAAGCTTTCTATGATACTACTCTTTCTTTGACTGGGATGCCTATAGAAGATGAAGCAGGGAAAAGCCTGCCAACTGCAAAAGATGCTGTGGTTCCTTGAGTCTTCCATGATGGATAGACTTTTGCCCTGATTATCACCCCTGCAGCTTGTTATAAATCTAATGGAACAATATTAAGATGTAAAATGCCTCTAAGGCCCAAAGTTTGGTGTGATGCCCCTATTCAAAATCTAATGAAGCAGATACATTCATTAGGTATCATAGCAGGAGATTCAAAGTGGCTGTAATAGTAAACACTGTGAAGAGGAAACGAACTTATGTACTGCAGAGAATTTCTGGTCCTGAGAGTGTCCTGTGGTGGATGGGATCTGATATAGTTTTCATCACACTGTTCATGCCAAAACAGGCTGCATAATTGGCCTCTAACTGTGGTCTTTTGAGGATAACACTAAGTTGTTTCTAGCCAGAGAGCACAAGAGACTTTCAAATCTCCCCTTTTAATGACTGTCAGTGGAGTTCCATGGCCAAGAGAGAGAACTACGCTTACTATATAATGGCATGGGAATAAGTTTGGGTATTTTCTATTTCTACCTCTTTACTTATTCTGTGCTGCATTTTCCCTACTGCATTACCTCCACCATTTTCATCAGGATGAGCATTGTGTTCCTTTTGGGTGAAAGTCAAATCAAAAAAGGGTTGAGTAGTCCTGCCTTTTTTCTGTCCTTCTCCATGCAATGACCCCATCATTTCCTTGTTGTTATTTTTTGCTCCATGTACAACCAAAATGCCAATTTTATTGTTTTTAAGCCTGAGCTTAAGTAGATGACTAGGGGTGGGATGAATAATAATAATAATAATGATAATAATAATAATAATAATCCTTTATTTATACCCCGCTAACATCTCCCAAAGGACTCGGTGTGGCTTACAAGAGGCCGAGGCCCAATACATCAGTAAAACAACAGCATAACAAATACAACAATACATAAACTCATAAAACAAAGCAATAAACATTAAAACAATAGCAATAGACATTAGACAATAACACCACTACGCATTTAAAAACTAAGGCAGGGCCAAATGTAATGATTAAAATTTTTAAAAATGCTGGATGTGACCAGGTGAAATGGATTGGTTTTTGGAAATAGGTGCGGTATGCAGACAATCTTAAATCTCTAGTAAAGTGCATTTGGGATATGATGCTTGGAGTTTCCTATTCTGGGAAGGCACACTGGAACAACCACGTCTTCAAGCACTTCCTAAAGACTGCCAACCTTGGGGCTTGTCTGATGTCCTTGGGGAGAGAGTTCCAGAGTCAGGGGGCCACCACAGAGAAGGCCCTGTCCCTCGTCCCCACCAATCTCACTTGCGACGCAGGTGGGATCGTGAGCAGGGCCTCTCCGGATGATGGAAGAGATCGTGTGGGTTCATATACAGAGATGCGGTCATGCAGGTAGGCGGGTCCCAAACCGTTTAGGGCTTTGTAGGTAAGCACCTGCACCTTAAATTGGGACCGGAAAATGAACGGCAGCCAATGGAGCTCCTTAAACCTATTGCCATGATCATCTCGAATGAGCCCTGCCATTCTAGAATTTGCTCATCTTTAGATTCTGAGATCACTACATATTATATAACACAATTTGATTAATCTTCTACAGTTGCAGAACAGAAACTTTGTAAAACTTTATACAGCACTATAATAACTTGGTAGATGGCAACAAAATACATTTGCAGGTGAGCTGTGCAAGTGTGGAAGTTACATTGCCTGTTACTAGTAGTGAATAATTATAGCAGTTGTTGTCCAAAATCTTCTCTTCTAAATCCACTGACTGAACTTGTACTCTTCTATTTTGTTTTCTTTTCTGCAGGCTCTTTCATGTTGGTGAATACCTCTGGAAGGATTGGACAAAGAGCCCATCTTTTGCTACCACACCTTAAAGAAAATGATACCCATTGTATCGATTTCAACTTTTATGTTTCTAGCAAGAGTGGGTCCAGTCCTGGTGTATTAAATGTTTACGTGAAAGTCAACAATGGTCCACTTGGTAGCCCAGTGTGGAATATGTCTGGAGCTCCAATAGGAACTTGGAACAAAATTGAATTGGCAATCAGCACCTTTTGGCCAAACTTCTATCAGGTATTTTTGTTTTGTTCTGTTCTTTGTTTATTTGTATGGAGCAGGTTAAAAGAAACATTTGGTCTTTATCATTGTCTTCTTTGAATGAAGTAATTTTCTTAGTTCTTTCTATTAATAACAATTATCTACTTAGTTCAGTTGTTAAATTGAGCAGTGTTTATTTATTTCTGTATTTTTTACTGTAATGTGCAGACCTAAAGCTTCATTTTGAAGAGAATAAAAACATGTAAAAATAAAACAACAGCAAAAGTTTAGCATCCCTTTAGCATAACATATCCTCATGAATGTAAGTGTCTGCAAGTGCCGACCAAGATAAGCGCAAATTTTATGAAGATCTAGTTGAAAGCAAAACTCAATAGTTAGATCAAAAAATGCAAGGTAGAATTGGCTTGGTGTAAATCTACCATTGAAAAAAGACTATATCTTGAAAATCTGTATCAGAAATCAAATTCAGGAAATTCCATTATTAGGGAGATAAACTGCAGGAGTTACATCAGCCAACCAGACACAAAGAAGAATGGTAGAGAACCAAAGTATTTTAATGTATGGGGACTGGACATAGGGTGAGAATTCAGATTAATTCAGTATCCCTAAAAGACTTGGACCAGGTGATTTCCTGCAGTTCCTATCTTTAATAGTTGAGTCCATTGAGGGAGATGAAGAGGAAGAGTTAATGTGAAGTGTTAAACATTGGAATCTCCAATATTCTGCCCTGATATGTTCTTTGTACCTAAATGATTATGATGGAATGAGACAGATTGAATATACTACATGGCACTATTCGTAGTACATTGCAATTATTCAATAGGGATATAACAAATGCAGTTATTCAGAAGGGATATGAGAAAAGCATATGTCATATTTATTTAACTGGAATGGCAAACTATAATGACAGATCATTAGTCATGCCAACCTAGTTTGAGTCAAAGATGCACCTAATACCTGGATGTCCAAAAGCAATTCCAACATACATTCTCTCCTATCTAAAATACACTGAATTCATATTTGAGGTCAACACTTCTAGATAAGACTTCAGTTTCCTTCCCCCCCCCCCCTCCATCCAATTCATCCCAAGTACCCATTCAGCATTTCAGTGGTGTCTTCAGAGTTTTAAGAAAGGAGGCTGAGGATCTGAGGGACAGGAAAAAAAATACAATACTTGTACTGCATATGAAATCTCCAGGGTATCCTCAGGCCTCCAGCTTCTTCCTTGTGAATGAGCAGGAGTGCCACATCAGCCCCCTCAACAACAGATGGAAGAAGCTAGCGGTAAAGGTTAGGGAATTTGGAGGAGTTTGGACTTCCAGATAAGGCTCAATCATGATTTCCAAAAACCTATGTGGAACTCCCAGTGTTAAATAGAAGTGACATTATTGAGTGCAAAATCTGCCACATTTCTATAGATAACATTCTATATTTCACTTCTATATATACAATTTCTGCTGAAGTGCTCCTCACAATTTATTACCTTTTGATCATACTTATTGTTTGCTTTCAGAATATTTGTTGTAGCTAATAATTATTTTGCTAAGCCATGTACAACATAAGAGTAGCCTGCATGTTTAAAAAAGCTATTTGTAGTTTAATTATTGTTCATTTAAATATAAGTTATCTAGCCATTTAGATAGTTAATCCCTTAACTACGGTAATACTTTCTCTATTTATTAATTTTATAGCTAATAGTATTTCTAATTATTCTCAACTGAAGATGGCCTTACCAGCTAGAATTATTTACTAAACAAGAATTTAGTTGTGCACAAGTAAGTTTGTATGAAGGGTCATGTTCTAGACTGTCCAACCAGAATGCATCATTACAAAAGAGGGTGGAGAATTGCATAAAAGTTTCATGTACTAATTCATATATTCAAATTAAAAATAAGTATTGTAATTTAAATAGAAATGTTATACATTTCACCCTAATAAGAAAGAGAAACCAGTGGGTTGCTCAGTTTGCTCTGACATTTCTTGGTGTTGAAGAACAATTTGAAGAGTCCTCTGTTTTCTGTTTTCAGAATTGTTAATTTTTAAATAAAGGTTTGTACTGGATAAATCTCAAAGAGGTGATACTTTGAAATAGAGGATTGTCTTTCAGATAGTAGGAGTCCTTTCCTTTACTACCACTGTCAGGCCATAGTCATCATTCTTATTTCAGATTATTTTATAGTGTGAAATGAGTCCAAAAAGTCTTTAAAATAAAATTCTATTTCTGCAAAAGAATCAGTTAGACAGCTCCACAGGTTGCTTGGTACCCCACTGAGTTCAGTCTGCTCAACGTCTTGTATTCTTAGCTCCATATACCCCACACTAGCAAGTTTGTATTACTTTGAAATAAACAACATACTCTCACTTCCAAAACCATTATGTTTTAGTTTACATGGAGGAAAGCAGGCTTTAGAAAAGTAACCAGATAAATAATGCTTCTGCTTTGTAATCTGAAAAGTAAGACCGAAACCAAATTAAAGAGATATTGTGCAGGCAGTTCTCGAATTTCAAACATGTGAAATTATGAACAGGGATGAAACAACAACAGTGAGAGAAAATCTACCCCAGGAAGGGAAATTCACTCCTGTCAGAGTTATTGTGGCGAAAGGGTGTCTCTATTGAAGGTTTATCCCCAATACTCGTTTCCACGAAAACCCCAAATTTTCTAAAACCAATTGTTAAGGGACAGAAAGTGAGGTGATATTTTCTGTATAGGGGCACAGATAGCAAAACAAACGTGACAGAGGTGTTAACCCTTCCCTGTTCGATCTAAAACTTTTTTTTTTGGTCTGGAATTACACTTTAAAATGTGCCTGTTCTGACTTAGATACAAAATCAACTTAAGAACAAACGTATAGTATAGACTAATCTTTTAGGTAGTTTCGGGACTTCTTGCACATAGTTTTGCCTGTCTACTTTAATTGGAATTGGCAAGTGTCAGGGGTTGGGGGACCACACTGGGCCTCTGCAATACCTTGGGGAACTGCGCTTTCCCATCATTTTCCATTGTATCCCCTAATCCTAAATGTTTTTAAATTATTAGCTTTCTCCTCTATTTTTAAAAATTATGGACTGTTTTAGTCCCAGGAGAAACTTGAAAGCAAATTGAGAGTTGATAGAGTGTTGTGAGATGCATTTTCAGAAATATATATATAATCTACCATATTTTATTGCATAATAGTCGCACATTCCCCCCATTTTGTGGGTGGAAGGGGGTACAACTATTATGTGCAGGCAAGCGAGGCCTATGCTGTGTATTTCATTGCACAAGGAAGTATACAGTCTTTTATCCAAATCACTATAGGTACATCAAGGATGTATTATTTATTTATTTATTTATTTGGAAGTTTTCTATACCGGCCTTCTCACCTCAACGAGGGACTCAGGTCGGTTTACAACATATATGCAAATACAATAATATATAAGTACAACAAAGTGCAACGTCATTACAGATTAAAATAGTACAATACAAAGTAAATTGTATTGTCAAATCCAGCTAAGTCTCCCAAGGTTTTGTTTTTTAAAAAAATGCCACAACTGAATAGCTAAAATCAACCAGAAATCTCAGCCAAACCCTCCAATTTGTGCAAATACAGAATAAAATTATCTAACCTCCCCTCTCTCAAAAGGTCCATACCCCACTGAAATACTTGGATTGCTCTCTAATTCCCCTTCAAAATAGTGACAAGCAGTGGCACAGTATCACTTCCAATTGCCATTTTTGAAGAAGAAATGGAAGGAAAACAAGGTATGTGGGTTCTCTTAGGTGGGAATGCAGCCTATGAATGGGGAACGGTGGAAATTTGTCATCCTCTCTTTCTCCAAGCAGTCACTTACTACTGCTTTGGAGGGTCTCTGGTCATAATGCTGTAATGAAGTCAGCTAAGAGACACGTATAGCAGGTTCATGTTCTAAAATAGTGCCTTAGGAAGAGGTATATTGCCAACAGACATAAACAGAAGCTCGAGTCGTCATATCAATTAGATGCAGTCACCACTATGAAAATACTGTCTGAGATTCCATGAATAAAAATAGAGCAGAATATTGACTCCAACTGGTGAGAGATTTACTGTGGAGCAACACATGCCCTTGTGGAATGAACAGTTTCCGGATCCTTTGCCTTGAAAAATAATCCAGTTATAACCCGCTACAAACACGTTCATTATTACGTGATTCCAATTTTCAGTTTTGTTGATCTTAAATCATTTTCATGTAGGTGAGCTAGTTAACATATTAACCTCCTAAATTCTTCTTTAGGAACTTTATCAAAAATCTGAAAGTGGGATATATGCAGAAATGTAACCATGCAGAACTGCTGGGCAGAGAAGAGATTCAAGAGGATGCACATAGGATGACAAAGAATTGTGGCTTGTTTGGGGATTTTTAAATGGGATTACTTTCATGCTTGATTCACATAATTGTATTAACTCACCATATCGATATTGGTAAATTCATTCTATGTTTCAAGTATATTTTATGAATTAAAGTGTGTGATTAGGTACAATTCACCTTTGGACAACAGGAATTGTAATTGCTTAGTCAAAACAAAGGCTGGAATTTACTAAGTGAGGTCATGTATTGAAAGCAAATCTATTTATTCCCTTTGTTCTATGGAGCTGACAAGTTATCTCTGCCAGCACATTTTCAGCAGTAAGCATTTAGGGTGGCAAGCAACCCCCCCCCCCCCCCCCCACTCTTTGTTCTCATAGAGAAGGGGGAAGTGGTAAGAATGAAAAGCTAATTTTGCTCTTCACTGAAGCAGGGAGGATCAGGGACAGTGCAATGTTAAACCGCTTCCCTGTTTCCTGTTTGGCAGGCATTGAGGGATAGTCTGATGTAAAACATCTCTCAGGCAGACATCCAGCATGGCTTTTCATGAACAAATGAAATCTGTGTTTTTAACCAGTTGGTTCCAGACTGATAAGGCAGCAAAATAAAGTCTAAGGAATCAAAGGACTATCGTATTCGGTACAGCTTGCTGTGCAAGAATGTTATTTTGACTAATGTGCTTCATGTGT